TTAATTTATTCTTTCACTTATTTATGCAAAACACTGATTGAGCTATGTGCTGGGCTCTGAACTAGGGTCTCAAGTTACTTTGGGGAATGAAAGAGGTGTCCTCTGTGCCTGGAGGTCCTTCTCCTCAGTGAGGTGAGACTTGGGCTTGGAATTACCACCTTGAATAACAGGAATGGAAAGAGCTGTGAAGTGGGTGAACCTAAACCTGTGTGGGAGCTCCCTAGAGAGTCTGACGCGAGTGGAAGTGTGGCTGAAAGACAACTAAATGGAAAAGGAAAGGATCTTTCTAGGCAGAAACGGCAGTGGAGTGCAGAGGAGACTGCGGTGTCCAAAAAAGTGGGGAGTCTTTGTGGCTGCACCCAAGGAGATGAAGGAGAGTTTGGTAAGAGGCAAATGAAGAGAGAAATGATCTGATGGTGTTGTAGTAAGGATTTCTCTGCTTCTGACTACTACGCCCCCTGCCTGTCCCCCTCTCCCCCATTGCTGTCAGGATGAGGATCTAGTCAGAGCTACAGCCTTAGACTCAGACTCAGCTGCTTTGTTTTTTGTTTTGTTTTGTTTTTTTTGTTTGTTTGTTTTATTTATTTATTTATTTATTTTTTTCCACATCTTTATTGTTGGATGTAAAATGTATTACAGATGTTCCACATTTTTCCCCCATTGACCCCCTCCTCCCCACTCCCGCCCCCCTCCCACCTTTTCCCACACTATTGTCTGTGTCCATTGGTTATGCATATAAATTCTTTGGTTTATTTCTTCCCACCCCCCCAACCCCTTTCCCTTTGAGGTTTGTCAGTCTAGCAATGAATTTGTGCTTCTTAATCCCTTCACCTTTTTCATCCATTCCCCCAACCCCCTTCCCAACTGGCAACCAACAAAATGTTCTCTGTATCTATGAGAATGTTCCTGTTCTTCCTGTTCATTTTGTTTGTTCATACATTTTATCTTTTTCTTTAAAAAGACCCTTCATCATTTCATATAATAACGGTTTGGTAGTGATGAACTCCTTTAACTTTTTCTTGTCTGGGAAAGTTTTTATATGTCCATCGATTCTAAATGACAGCTTTGCAGGATAGAGTAATTTTGGTTGTAGGTTCTTGGTTTTCATCACTCTGAATATTTCTTGCCACTCCCTTCTGGCCTGCAAAGTTTCTTTTGAGAAATCAGCTGACAGCCTAATGGGAACTCCCTTGTAGGTAACTAGCTGCCTTTCTCTTGCTGCTTTTAAGATTCTCTCTTTGTCTTGAACCTTTTGCATTTTGATGATGATGTGTCTTGGTGTGGGCCTCTTGGGGTTCATCTTGTTTGGGACTCTCTGTGCTTCCTGGACTTGTATGTCTGTTTCCTTCACCAAGTTAGGAAAGTTTTCTGCCATTATTGTTTCAAACAGGTTTTCGATTTCTTGTTCTCTCTCTTCTCCTTCTGGCACCCCCAAGATGCGAATGTTGGCACGCTTGAAGTTGTCCCAGAGGCTCCTTACACTATCCTCATTTTTTTGGATTCTTTTTTCTTTTTGCTGTTCTGATTGGGCGTTTTTTGCTTCCTTATATTCCAAATCGATGATTTGCTCCTTGGATTTACGTACTCTATTATTGAAGCTATGTAAATTATTCTTTATTTCAGTTAAAGCCTCCTTCATTTCTAACTGTGCAGCGATCATTTCTGACTGGTCCTTTTTTATGCTCTTGAGGCCCTCACTGAGTTCATTGAGCATCCTTATAAGCAGTATTTTGAACTCAGCATCTGTTAGGTTGCTTATCTCCATTTCGCTTAGTTCTTTTCTTGGGGTTTTGTTCTGTTCTTTCATTTGGGACCTGTTTCTTTGTCTCCTCATTTTGGCTGCCTCCCTGTGTTTGTTTCTGTGTATTACTTAATGAGAGGTATGGGGCTCGCTGAGACCCGATGCTGCTCGTTTGAAAGAATTTAGGAAAAACCTGAAGCAGGATCCAAGACAGGCCAATCCTATGGTTAAGCAAGTGGCAACAGCTTGGGTGGGCCTGAAAGTTGGGTGGGGCGGGGCCTCAGGGAGTCAGCAGGGCGGGGCTACCAGTGTGAGCCAGGTTGCTGGAGTCCCAGATATGGCGACTGTCTGCCGCCCCAGGGAAGGGCTCACCAAAGGAACAAAGGCCTCTGACAGCACGTTTGTTCCCGAGAAAGCCCCCTCTCCAGCCCTCGCTCCAGTGCCAAACAGCTCAGTTCTTCCCTGTATTTCTCTGGTGCCATTCGAGCTGCCTCCCCTCCGAGCTTAGAGGGAGAGAGTCCGATAAGTCCGTGCGCGGGCCCTTTAGGGAGCTGCCTGTGGCTCCAGCCAGGTCAGCCTCCCTGAGCCTCAGTTTCTGCTGGTTTTTCCAGCCAGAAGTTATGGGGACTTCTCTTCCTGGCACTGGAACCCTGAGCGGGGCACCTGGTGTGGGATGGGGACCCCTCAGTCCTCAGGAAGGACCTTCCCAGCCGCAGGAGCTTCCTGATTTTTATCCGCCACACTTGGGTGTGGGACCTGCCCGTCGAGCCGCCCTGCCGCTGCCGCCACCCCTCGCGCCGCCGCCCCTCCTACCGGTCTGGATGTAGCTGCTTTTTTTTTTTTTTTTTTTTTAATTCCGTAGTTGTAGGACTTCCATTCAGCTTGATTTCAGGTGGTTTTGGATGATGGTTGTTCTGTAGTTTTGTTGTAACTTGGATGTGGTTGTGGGAGAACGCAATACTGCGTTTCCCTATGCCACCATCTTGACCGGAAGTCAGACTCTGCTGCTTTGTGAGGAATAGATGGGGAAGCGATGGTTTTCTGATTTGTGGGTACATGGAGTTGCCAGTTAATAAGATGTGCAACACTGGAGGAAAATAGAGTTTGGGGGCAAAGCCTGAGTTAAGTTGTAGACCTGTTGAGCTTGAGACATCAGCAGATGTGACCCGGGCACTTGGATATAGACAGGCCTGGAGTTCAGAGAAGTAATCTGCACTGGAGAATTTGAGTGGTAATTTCCCCTTAGGGGAAAATTAAATCTGTGCCAGAGAAGAGTGTAGGTTTAAATAGATGTTGGTACCACCCATCTGAAACACTCTGATGACTATTGGGTGGGGTGTTGCTATGATCTTCCCAAGGTAGATAAAAGGAAACTCAGATTGAAATTATATTTAGGAAACATTTGTTGAGTTAGTTTCCTTAAAACTTGAGGGAATCCTGTTGAGCATTTTTGTGTTCCACATTTGGACATACCTATTAGAATATATGACATAAAGTCTGTTCAGGATCAGGAATGGGGGTGTGGCTTCATAAAATGTTGAGTCCAAAAGCTTAGATGACAGAGATGATTTAGGTTTCAGTAGTTCAGACATAATCCACGAAGATGACCTGCTGTGCCTGAGCTGACAAAGAGCTGTGACCCCCCTGAGAATGCTGGGTGCAGAGTCGCATGCTGGGGCAACTGAGACTTGCGGGCAGGTTGACAACCTGTTCTTACTGTTCTGGATACCGTTTATTTCCCAACAACATGATTGTCTGGCACCATTACAGCAATTCAGTGATACTGATGTCACACTAGAAGTACTTGCTTAAAAACCTCCACATTGTGATGTGATGTGATGTATACAGATGATCCTCAACGTATGTCTGTAACGTGACATATCAGAAGTATTGACTTAATAAATACAGTGACACATAGCGAAGGCTCTTTGTCTACAGATCCCAGTTCCTGGAGCATTTTAAACTGTATTTTGCAGTACTTTTGGACACTTAGAAATAATAGCAGTTAGCATTTGTTAAGCATTTACTGTGTGTTGAATATTTTATCTACATTAGTTTAATTAAACTTCACAACTATTTAGGAAAATGATTTGCCCCACTTTGCAGATTAAGAAATCAAGGCTTAGAGAAGTGAGAAGTTAAGTTACCCAAGACCTAGTGTGTAGCAGGTGTGGGCTGAGCTTCAAACCCAGGTCTCCCTGAAGTCAAAGAGTACATTTTAAATTTTGCTAAGTCTTGCCCGACTGGTGTGGCTCAGTGGATTGAGCGCCATCCCATGGACTGAGAGAGAGGTCCCGGTTTGATTCCTGGTCAGGGCACATGCCTGAGTTGCAGGTTCTATCCCCAGTAAGGGTCATGCAGGAGGCAGCCAATCCATGTTTCTCTCTCACATGGATATTTCTATCTCTCTCTTTCTCTCTCCCCCCAAAAAATCAGTAGAAACATATTTTAGCCCTGGCCAGTTTGGCTCAGTGGTAGAGCATTGGATCGCGGACCAATGAGTCACGGGTTTGATTCCAGCCAAGGACACGTGCCTCGGTTGTGGTTCATCCCCGGCCCTTGCGGGAGGCAACCAATTGATATGTCCCTCTTACGTCAATGTTTCTCTTTCCCACTCTCTCTCCCTCCACTCTATCTGAAGATAAATAGAAAAATATCCTTGGGTGAGGCGTAAAAAACATTTTTTTAATAATAATAAATTGTTCTAAGTCTTGCCAAATTCCCTTCTAAAAAAGAGAGTGAACATTTCACTTTCACCAGCATTTACATTTTGCCAGCTACTAAGTGAAAAATTATTAGAATTCACAGATAACTAGTGAGATGGAATGATTTTTCCTATTTAGTAGCTATTTGTGTTTCTGTTTCTGGGCATTTCTTTTGTGTTTTTTTCCTTCAGGTTTATCTTTTTGATTGTTATTCAGGTAAAGTAATATAGTTGAAGTTTTGATACTTTTAGAAGACAAAGCAATAACAACAACAAAAATGGCAACATGCTAGTTGTTCCTGGGCAAGTTTTATCCAGCTTTTCCCATGGGCACTAACAGTCCTATTGACTTTGAGCTAAATGTGTAAATAAGCATATTTCTATACACGTATCACATAATAGGAGTGTTTCCACACACAAAGATAAATGATCTTTGGGTTAGCATGGTGCCTGCTAAGGCCTACTGAGTATTTCTATCAGTGTGGGACAGGCACCCTGTCACCCGCCCCAGGGTATCGAGAAAGAATTAATTAATGCCCTTTATTTCTTTTTCAGGTTTGCCTGCGATGATATTTCATTCTCTCCAGTTAAAAGACATCCTTTCTGAGCTGCTGTGAATAAATTTGGAATGATACTGTATATTCTCATCTAATGGAGGATTAGCTGTACCTTGAATAAGGATTGCTGCACTGGACAACTTCAGAATATTACTCACAATGTCATCGAACAGGAGTCAAAATCCCCACGGACTGAAGCAGATTGGCCTTGACCAGATCTGGGACGACCTCCGAGCCGGAATCCAGCAGGTGTACACCAGACAGAGTATGGCGAAGTCCAGATACATGGAGCTCTACACGTATCCTGCCGCCTGCGCTGAGATCTGTTTGCTTAGAAGTCTTTTTACTAGTATGATCTGAATTGTTAGAAATTTGACATCATGTTTTTTCTTTCCATTTCATCCTGTGATATAATCATAAGTTTATTTTAGCTTTAAACTTAACTCATTTATTCTAAGTTTTTTGAGCAGAGGTGAAATTGGCTAGTTGGTGGTCTAAAGCTGTGCTGTTCAGTACAATGGCCACAAGCTGCGTGTAGCTATCTACATTTAAAATCACTGGAATTGCGGAATTAGTTAAAAGCTTAGTTCCTATGCTGCAGTAGCCAAATTTCAAATGCTCAGTAGATAGATAATAGACAAGTCCTCTCCTTGTGGACAGTCCTGTTAGACAGTGCTGGTGAGGGCAGGGGCGTTGGTTCCCATGTTGCCTGTGGTTGCCTTCATGCTATGGGGCAGAGCGGGGTAGGTGCATCAGAAATGGTCTGGTCCAGCCCTGGCCGGTTTGGCTCAGCGGTTAGAGCGTCGACCTGTAGTCCAGAGAGACCCAGGTTCGGTTCCTGCTAAGGGCACGTACCTTGGTTGTAGTTTGTCCCCGGTCGTGGTTGGGTCTACTAGCAGGAGGCAGCCACTTGATGTGTCCCTTTCACGTCGATGTTTCTCTCTCTCCCTCCCACTCCATCTGAACAAAGAATGGAAAAATGTCCTCGGGTGAGGATGAAATAAAAAATGGTCTAGTCCACAACGCTGACAACATTTACTCTCTGGCCCTTTATGAGAGAAGTTTGCTGACCCCCAGCTAAAGGGTTACCACACGGAGCAAAAGTTGTACTTTGTGTCGTTTTTACAAATGTGGTATTAGACAAGTATTCACTCATTTGTTTTGTGGTGAGTGATGTGTGCTACAGAGGTCATGGAGGGGAGGAGGCCGGTAGCGCCCGTTCTTCACTCTACACTCAGCGGTAGACTGTTCGACTTGTAGTTTCTTGATTTCATTCAAGTGTAAGAAATTGAAATTTAAGCTAACTTACTAGAGAGCAGATTGCTACTGATTTTCTGGTTCTGGGGGTTTAAAGGTTTTAGTTTAATGGATATTTAAGTTTAAATCATTAATATGTACCACTGATTGTCGTACTTGGTTATGTGGTGTTTCAGTATGCCCTCAACTATGCTAATGTTTTAGAATCTTAAAAAAATTAACATTACTTTAAATAGATATGAAACTATATGTTCTTTTCTAAATTTAAATTTTATTGCAGATGTGTATACGTACTCATAATGTGTATATGTGTGCACTTATACTGTACTTTTAAAAAAAATAATAGCTTTATTGAATTATTTGCATACGATAAAATTCACCCTTTTTAAATGTATAATGCCGTGGTTTTTAGTATATTCACAGTGTGCAACCTTAATCACTAATAATTTTAGAACATTTTTATCACCTCCCCCAAAGAAAGTGTATTCATTAGCAGTCACTCTCTATTCTCTCCTCCCCCAGCCCCTATCAACCATGGATCTACTTTCTGTCTCCAAGAATTTGCTTGTTCTGGATGCTTTTTGTAAATGGAACCACACAGCACATGGCCTTTTGTGACTGGCTTCTTTCACTTAGGATAGTGTTTTCAGGCTCACCCTTTTGTAGCAGGTGTCGGTGCTTCATTTGTTCTCATGGCTGAATTGTATGGACATACATACCACATGTTCTTTTCCACTCATCAGTGAGGGGTGTTGGTTATGTGCACTCTGGGCTGTTAGGAATAATGTGGCTATTAGGAATATTGTGCATGAGTTTTTGTGTGCACCTGTGTCTTCATTTCTCTTGGGTACATACACAGGAGTGGGATTGCTGGGTTGTGTGATATGAAGAACATATCTGCAAATGAGAGGATATTCCACCCAAGAGGGTTGTGGCTTCTGGGTGTGACACTTTTTCTTTTTTTCTTTTTTAATTCTTTTAAGTAATAGAACTGAAGGTGGTGATTCCAGAGATGAGACAAAGCGCTTGGTTGGATTTCTGGTTTGCAAAAAAACGAGAGCATTAATGTGGAGATCAAGGAAATTTGGTTGATGATTTGTCTCTGGAAAGTTTCTTAACATGTTAATTTTTACTGAATCAGATTGGTTCTTGACCCAATAGAATGTTTTGCTCTTAGAACTCTAAGCATGTAGAGACTTTGTTTGCAGCAATTATTGAATTATTTTATTCTACAAATAATTATAATTTGTAGTTTTGATACCTGCAATATAAAATATTTTAGGAATCCTACTCTTAAGTTGATTGTTACTCTTTGACTTCCCATTTGGTCTGAGACAATAAACAGTTTCATACATTAATTAAGATTGGAGAATCTCACCTGGCTGGTGTGGCTTAGTGGTTTAGTGTCGACCCTGCGCCAAGAGGTCGCCAGCTTGATTCCTGGTCAGAACACATGCCCAGGTTGTGGGCCAAATCCCGTGTGGGGCGTGCAAGAGGCTGCCAATCGATGTTCTTTCTCATCGATGTTTCTCTCTCTAAAAATCACTAAAGAAAAAAAATAAAGCCCTGGCTGGTTTGGCTCAGCAGTAGAGCGTCAGCCCACGGACCAATGAGTCACAGGCCCGATTCTGGCCAAGGGCATGTACCTCAGTTGCGGTTCCGTTCCCCGGCCCTGGTCGGGGTTGTGCAGGAGGCAACCAGTTGATGTGTCTCTCTCACGTCAATATTTCTTTCTCTCCCCCTCCCACTCTATCTGAAGATAATTAGAAAAAAAATATCCTCAGATGAGGATTTAAAAAAAAAAAGTGGAGAATCTCACTGTAAATTTTTAGATATTATTTATGAAATCATAGCCACAGTTTGAATCCTGTGTCAGGCATTTTGCTGGGACTACCTACATCTTATTTAAGGCTTATGTCACCCTGGGGGGGGGGGTAGTAACTCTTCTCTCTTGGTGTCAGAAACCTTATCTGCAAAACCTCAAATAACTCACCTAATTGTTGTGATAACCACTGATAAATGATGCTGGAACTAAAATTCTTAGTAGTCTGACTGTAGAAACTATCTTTATCTACTATATGGCTTCAAATTTTTGTTTTCGAATGCATCATGTTTCTCAAAGTATTTTCTGTATTTTCCTATTGAAGTTCCAAAGAATGGTGTTTTGATCAACTCATATTAACTTTTAGGATACAGATAAAACAGTAGAATGTCTGCTTGTGTTTATTAATTTAATTATTGAAAATCCTAGACTTATAGTTCCTCTCTTCACCTTCATTTTCAATATCAGTGTTATTGTCATAAGTAGAACTTAAGAGTTGTCTGACACATTTTTCTACAGTGCATCTTTACTTCCGTTTAAGTCATTTTGTTAAGATATGTAGTACTTCTTGAAGTTACATGTTGTTATTACTGCAGTTTTAGCCCAGCGTCAGTTTGCATAACAGTTTTCTTACAGGTGTATTTTCGGTCTCTCGTGGAACTGTTAACTGTATCACCCTTTAAAATACTCTCCTACAGGCTGGTTTCTGGCACTTTGTAATGTTTATGTGTTAGATTAGGAGGCACTTTTGGTCCTGGGAAGAAGGAGCAGACTGCACATGTCCCTGTTCTGAGGTCACTCTTCAAAGGGTGAAGTAACCTTGTTGAGAAAGGGAGGAGTGGGAAAAGTGGTTGAGAGGAAGAAAGAAGAGGAACTTTTTCTTCTCATAAGTCTGGCTCGTAGCCGAGAGCGAGATTGTTCCCTTTTGTTATCCTGAAGAAATGCATGTCATGTTTTCTAGAGAAAGGAGCCTACTGGGGATGTGAAGCCATGTTCTTAGAACCCTTAGGAACTTCTGGTCTTTATGGTTGCTGTGACAGGATGGTGGGTTGTTACACAGCATAAACGTTTTTCTTGATTTTCCAAATCAAAATGGCAAAGGAAAGAGAAGGGAATTTGGAGAAAGAAAAAAGGTCTTGGAGCATCTGCAGTCAGAAGGATCTGTTCAGTTACTTGTTTCCAGCCACTTCACAGAGGCTTCATTTTCTTCTGAAGTTTTGGCCTTAAGCCCTTCTCCCCACTGTGTCTGTGTGTCGGCACGTCGTGCCGTCCACCTTCCTGTGATGTCCCACATACGTACATGCAATTACAGTGCAACTAGGATTTTTCTTTTTGCAATAAAATGCAGGAGTACTCCTGTGCAGGTTGGGTAGATGATGGTTACTCCTGTGCAGGTTGGGTAGATGATGGTCGGTTTCCTTTCTTCTGAACTAGAAATCAGAAATGAAATTTCTTACTAGTTTATGGACACCATTATATTTCCGGTGTCGTGCTGGCTCGATTGACAGGCCTAGGTCCTGTTAGTGGAGCAGACGCACAGGAAGGGAAGGCAGCATGAGGCTTGGGCCCCTGTGCCGTAGCCAACAGCACCCACTCTCAGCTCGTCCGGGCACCAGGCCATCTGGGCTTGGGGTGCCTCTTTGCTTTTTCAAGGCCCCTGGTCTACTTGTCCTCACTTTCAGGTCAGATTCCTTTTTATCTGCTGTCATGCACCTCAAACCATAGTTTTACCTTCCCTTGGAATCAGTGTAAACTTGCATGTTGATGTCTTTCTCTTTTTTTCTGTCTGCATAAGTTCTCATAAACTTTGACATTTCTTTTTTCTCCCTGTAGTGCTGTGAGCTGAATTAGTTTGCTCTGTTTTCTTAGCCTGTTTTTTCAAAATCTTTTTCCCCAACTAGTACTAGTACACTAAGGATCACATTCAGTTTTTCTAGTAAGTTATAACATTAGCATATTCACAATTCACATTTAACCTCTGTCCTGGCGTTCTGTGACACAACTCTCGGTCCCTGGGGCGGGGCTCTGTTCACCAGGTGGACGGGCTTGTCCACGCCTCCTCTGCCAGCTGTGTGTGCAGGTCGGGCTGCGGCGGCCACTCTCGGGTGCACGAGTTTCACCCTCGCCAGCTCCTCCGAAGGAACGGGGGTCCAGGGGGAAATTCCAGCTACACAGAGAATTCTCTTCCCTTTATAGAAACTCAGAGTCTCAGAAAAGCAG